GTCCCAGCCGAGCCGTGGATTTCAAATTAATACAGGTATCGTTGGTCGATGTAGAGAGATCACTCCTAGGCGGTCACTGCGCCACTGTTCGGACTGGGATTACATGCCTTACAATCCTGATAAATGTTTTTGCAACTGCAGCATGTGACTGACGTGGGTCCATTTTTGCCTGTAGCAAAACCTAGCAATCACCTGCTGCTGCGGTTGTTCGTGACCCACAACCTCCTCTTCTTGGGACAGCAGTGGCTGCGGTCCACATTGCTTCTCATGCACAAAAAACAATGCTGTGGTTGACACAAAACTCCTGGACACAACTTCCTTTTTTTCAGTTTCCCAATGATTCTTCCTCGCGTAAAGTCACCCTAGTGTTGTCTCTGAGACTTGATGTAATCAAGAACACCACTACATTCCACAGTCACTTCTCCCTGCTTAGTTCACCCCTCTTGTCCTGCCCCACGATACCCATCGTTCTGGGTGGCCACCCCATTTAGGCTCCAGATTGAAGCCGGATGCAAGACATATGAGGCCCACTTCGGTGCCCATGACTGTAGGGCTTCTAGCATTATGCCCGTACAGTTTCATCCAATTCCATCTAATTGTTAATAAGTTAGGACAATTTATCTATCTGGTCCTTAAGTTTTGCACACCAGTGTATATTCACTCTTCATAGAGAAGTAGGGATTTGTGCATCCAGCAATATTCTACCACGACGGTCCTGTTTTCTTTCTACGCAACGGTGCATGTTTACAGATGATGCTGAAGAAAATGGAGATAATGAAATGGATGAGCAGTAGTTCAGAAAGGGATGTGTGCACACCTCATAATGATTTACTGGAACCGGTGGTCTCTACTGAAATGGCTTTGATCTTGGCAATTCATTTTCTTCCAATGCCGGTGACTAAGCCCAGTTTTGTTTTATGTGATTTCACTTTTCAAATTGAGCCCTTCCTGAGTGGTGGGCGATTGTCTGCTGTCACTGCTGATAACGTAGTGACTTATTTGTTTTTGTTTTTGATTGGTTAGCATCTTATCCTCAGTTCATCAATAAAAATGTTTATTGAAAAAAATCATAGTCAGGGAGGAAAAGGCATTCAGCCTCGTTCAATCTTTTTTGGGCCACACCATGCATTCTGCTTCTATTCAAATTATGTAGTAGCTACCTGAATGCGATCAGGCTTATGCAGTGAATGGTGGGGGCAGCCGATTAACGTATTCGCATTTCTCAAGTAAAGGACGTGTATGGGGCCACTTCTTCACCAGAGTCAACCCTGCGTTGCGCAGTTCGCAACGGCACGTTGAGAGATCCTCAACGCACGCTGTATGGGCGGAGACACAGACGGCTCGAGCATGCGAGTGTGAATGTTCGCGCGAGAGAACGTGTCTAATCGGGCGAAACTGCGCAACGTGGCCGTTGAAAACTGCGCAACGCAGGGTTGACTCTGTTCTTCACCTAAGGTTAGAGATACAAGACCGGAAAGGCCTGTAGCGGCTTGATTTCGGACTAGATCTTGCATCCCGTCCGCGGGGAGCATCATAGGCTGACACTGCATCAACTGCCCTAGACTAAATATATTGTGTAGAAAAAAAAATATAGGAACACTTTCTCCAAGCATATGAATTCATTCAATATAAGTGTTGCCTGAAAAACCGCGTGCATTATTGAGCAGTTTTTTTTTCGCTCTACGATTCCATTTTTGTCATATGATTCGCTGTTGCGGATCATGATCACTCAGATCATGCTTATGGTTAGTTAGAGGGAAAATTCATGCAGGAGGACCCGTTACCTGGACGGCTGCAATTGTTTGGTTCACAAAAGAAAAGAGAAGAAAAGCCAAAACGGAAGTTGTTCAGTGTTCATCGTTATCAAGGAACCTTACCACTATCGAGTCTAACCTTTCGTTCAAAATGAGAGAATACGATAAAGTGTGTGAGCAAGCCTGGAAGTTCAAGCACCACTGGAAGCAGTAGTCAAGGGCCCAAAGAAGCGAGATGGTTTTTCCGTTACCAAAGGCGCGCTACTTCCGCGCCCGGGGCTGCCATCCTTCCTTAACGCCACCTCCGCAGCCTGTGCTACGCTCATCAGTGTTGCTAGCACCACCATCCTACTTACTATGAAGCGCTTCGTCTGTCGTCTGTCGTTCTGTATGTCTGTCACGAAATTCCCTAGCTCCTCGGGATCCGCCTGGAGGGACCGGGTCAAGTGTGGGATGGGTGGGCAAGGTCTCACGAAGTACAAAACACACATCAGCTAAGCGGAGCCCCGCCCACAGTGGGCGTGGCGTGCGTCGAAATGAACTGTACTGACGACCGAGATTTTTCAAGATTTTAAATTCTCTACAAAACAGCCTCGAAACTGGGCCAAAAAGTGGGTAAAGGTGTGCATTAATAAGCCAGATCGAACTAGGGAGACCACCTCCGTTGCGGGCGTTCTCTAAAAAGGATAAGGATAAAGCATTTGCCGTTGATCAATCCCTTTTTGGGATGCGGCACGCATTCTACTTCCATTTGTACATTCGTAGTGGCGTTTGAATGCGATGTGGCCTATACAATGACTTGCGGGGGCCAGCCGATGTACAAGTCAGTGTTTTTATCCTCCCAGACAAGTCTGGTACCAATTAACCGACCCCGGAGGGATGGAAGGCTTGGTTGGCCCGGGCGACTCACGACCCAGGATTTGATCCCCGGACCGCTCGCGTGGTAAGCGTGCCACTTGCCACTACACCACTTCCGCCCTCTAAAAAAGCGATGCTTTATGAAAATTCATTACTCGATTCGGAGAAAGCCCACAGAGAAGAAAAGAAATTGATGTAGGAAAACAATGCCTAAGGCGTAAACAGCATAAATGACGTGGGTAGAGGCCGGGGTGCGCCCTGAAGTACACAGCGTTTCCTACAAGTCCCTATAATTCGGTTCCCATGGAGAGAAAAAAGGTTAATAGAGGTCAGAGGAGAAGGAGATGTTGAATATTCGTGGTGGGCGCTGCGTGCACAGAAGTGGGCGGAGTTTGCTAACAAATTCATAACTCGGTTCCAAAAGTCGGAGACCGGGAAAAAGTGAATAGAGGTCAGCGAAGGAAATGAAGCGAAATGCTATTGGTGGGCGGGCATGCACCAAAGTAGGCGGAGTTGTCCACGAAACATCCGGAGACTGGAGAAAAAGTGGATAGAGGTCAGCGAACGATATGAAATGCTATTGGTGGTGGGGGGGGGGAGGGGAGGGTGTGCACAAAGTGGGCCTAGTTTGTTGGCAGACTTATATCTCGATTCAGAGGAGTTTCAGAGATGGGAAAAAGTAGATCGATTCCGGCGAAGAGAAGGAAGTAAACTCCCAGTGGTGGGCGGTGTTTGCCACCAAGCATATAAAATAGTTCAGAGACAATTCCAAGAACGAAAAAAAAGGTGGAAGAGATTGGCGAGGAAGAAAAAGGTGGGTGGGACATGCACCGAAATAGGCGGAGTTCACCACGAGATTTATAAATCGGTCTAGAGGCAGTCCGGAGACCGGGAAAAAGCGGACAATGGTTGACGAAGAAGAAGAGGTCAAAAGCCATCGGTGGATGGAGCGGATAGAATCCTAGAAGTCAAATATTCGTAGTGTAATCGGCCAAATTTGAGGAATTACGACGACCCCATATCGCCGCAGAACTGTGTAGTGCGTGCAACGCGTGCGCCGCCAACTGGTTGCGCTTATTATTTGGATGCAGAATTCCAGTTTCGAATCCTATAGCTTCCCCATGGATTGCGATGATCTTTGCTGGAAAGATAGCGGCTATAATTCAACATGTGCAAACGACCTCCTAATTGGTTGCTAGCTCGTCCATTATCGGAGGTCAACGGGCAAAGAAAGGGGTCCCATTTTGCGCGTTCTTGACGGATTTCTTTGCTTTTTTCGCCACTGAGGGCATTATTCAGCATCTCCACTTCCATCTACCACTTCCACTATGACTCTCATAGTAACCCTTCGCTTTAAAGGCGCATCGCCAGCCGTCGCGCTAGACCGCGTTGCATTTCACGGTCCTTCCTGTAGAGGTAAACTAGCTACCTAATACTTAACTGAACCCGGCGATTCGGAAATTATCAATGGCATTGGTGACCCTTTGTGAAGGACAAAAATTCTCCCCGGCCGGGAATTGAACCCGGGTCTCGCATGTGACAGACGCGGATACTCACCACTATACTACCGAGGACCTGTAGGTGAAGTTCCTCCATCAACCCATCAAACATTAACAATGGCATTGGTGACCCTTTGTGGAGGAGCAAAAATTCTCCCCGGCCGGGAATTGAACCCGGGTCTCGCATGTGACAG